CCGCAACCCGCAGATTGCGAGTCGAGCGTCCTAACCACCTGGCCATGCCTTTTACTCGTGACTGACGTTATTCGACGTTGTACAGAAATAGAACATATCTATACCCAGTCGTTAGACTTAAAAAATAAGAAAAACGTATATAATAATAATAATATGCTTTTTTATTCAATGATTGCTAACTAATAACACTTTTGATAAACAATCTTAGTCATTTTTACAGTAGTTTTTCCACACAGTGCAAGCTAAAAATTTCGATTTGTTCGATCATTGTCTTTGTAAAAAATCTGCTATCGTACTTTCAATTCAGCCAAAAAACCAGATCATCTCCACCTGAATCCTATTCCTCATCAGTGCCTGAATTTCCAGATGAAGATTTGGAAGAGTTAAAGTATGGTAAAATGTCTGAGAAGGACAAACATGATGCTGCTTTGCCTATCGAAATCTTTGGTCTGCCTGTGGTTAGTTTAGCTATTCATATTTCTACTTTTGATTTTATGTATGTATATATATTTATTTATTTGTGTGTGTGTACTGCAAACATATAAACAAGCTATCACAATTCAACAGTCATATGATAATAAGAAAATGAATTATTAATGAAAAGCCTTTCTTTTGAAAACACACTATTTTTTATTTATGTGTACATCCTGAAAATCTTCCTTGTGGCTCGACATCAAGTCTGAGTGCACATAACGCTTAAACTTGGAGATCAGCCCCTGCAGTATGTACATGGGCAGATTTACACCCAAAAAAAAACAAATTAGCCTTAAAAAGATATATATATTTACTATCACATTCATCCAAATCCCAAGAGAGTCTTAATCTAGTCAGATTAATTTTATGTTTTCTGAGGAACTTGAAATTCAACAATGAACGTTACATCTAAGCTAAAGGTGTCAAGCTAAATCCACGTAACGTTCATTGTTGAATTCCAAGTTACTAAGCTAAAGGTGTCAAGCTGGATCCTAACTTGGAATTCAACAATGAACGTTACATCTAAGCTAAAGGTGTCAAGTCGGATCCTAAATTTGCCAACTTCTCCATTGGTGAAATTGAGAATCAGCTGTTTTCTTTGTTTGTTGCTAAGCAGTAATGGACTATCTGTGCTGTGCCCACTACAGGGATCATCCCCCAAATTTTACCATTATCAGCTTATTGCTGAGCTGCCAGGGACAGAGTCGACTATACCAGAAAAGTCCTATGAAATCACAAATCTGGAAATGAAACATTGATGACATTTTCTTTATTGTTTGATTCAGTTTTGATTGTTTTTATAACTCTTGTTTTTCCACACATGCAAAGTTTCTTTGAAAAACACACCACTGTATTTTTTCTACCACAGGTGGCAGTCTAACCACACTAAAAAAGAAAAGACGTAACCTATTCTTATTATGATAAAAACAGTTACAAAAATCCTATTGAAGCACCAAAATGTAACATGATACCAAGAGATTATACAGATTCTGAAACTAACAGATGAATTAAGAAAGCCAACAGAATCCTTGGTTAAGTCTTAGCATCACTTTTCTAGATCGTTAGTTCATTATTCATCAGTAAAAAAAAAAATTACTGTTTTCTAAAGTGCTACCAGAGTGCAAGCCATAACTGTGGTATTTTTATTCTAAACCTTCTCCCAATACCTTATCTTCCATATCCAGCCCCCTTTCCTGGCTGTATCTTTCATCCTACACCCTCACCATATGCCTTACGTTCTTAGTCATCCCCTCTTTCCATGCCTCATTATTCATCCTAAATCCTCTCACCATGCTTCATATTCCATTTTTAACCTTCATTCCCTGCCCTTAAATTTCATCATCAAACACTATCTTGTTAGAACTAATATATTAGCAGCTGTCCAATCTCTAGAATGAAACTGAATATCATGTAGTTAACTCACGTTTTTAGTCTACCAATGTTGAAAATGGTCTACTATATGTAGGTAGTGAAGTGTGAAGCTATCTGTTGATGGTGATGTGTAACTGTCACAAAATGTAAAGCTATCTGTTGATGGTGATGTGTAACTGTCACAAAATGTAAAGCTATTTATTGATGGTGATGTGTAACTGTCACAAAACCTTCTTCATATTAGTACTTTTGTTTTATTATTTGAGGTTGAGAGGGCTTATTCGAAAGTATTCTCAAATCGAGAAACAGCACTGAAGGAGATTCAGAAGTTTCATCAAAAGTATAAACCTAAAGGAAAATTTAATACATCCACTGACGTGTTGAAAGCCACAACATACATACTGGAACGGACGTTGAAGGATAAAGTACTGTCTGTAAGTAAACATTTCTAAATAAATGTTCTAGTAAAAATAAATATGTTTTAATACCAATCAACACACGATATAATAGTGTATATATGTGTGCAACAAAGATTTTACTAGTTTCTGTGTTGATAATAAGAATGTATTCATTTTAAGGATAATGTTCACACAGAGGTGTAGGAGGCAAATTAGAAGTAGGGAGGCCTAAAGTTTATTTGAAGTGAGGGAATGTGTGCCATTGATGTGCACCCATTTTGACTGGGGTTCAGGGCTCGCCTTAAGCTCTTGGATTCTCTTTTAAATTTTATGCATTCTTCTACTTTTCGTGAAAGCAATTTTCCTAATTTTGATGCATTTTTACTGGGACATATTGAAAAGTGGGGGGTATCAAACACCCCTGTTTCCTATGCCACTGGTACAAGTAAGTTATTTATATCCCTGTGAGCATAGGTGCCAAGTAGGTAGAGGTCTGGGGAAACGTGGAATACCTGTATTGTCATTTTTGGTTGTAAGATGTATTCAGTCAATGAAGTAGAACCTGTAGACGTGGAATAACTGTATTGTCATTTTTGGTTGTAAGATGTATTCAGTCAATGATGTAGAACTGGTAGACGTGGAATAACTGTATTGTCATTTTTGGTTGTAAGATGTATTCAGTTAATGATGTAGAACTGGTAGACGTGCAATACCTGTATTGTCATTTTTGGTTGTAAGATGTATTCAGTCAATGATGTAGAACTGGTAGACGTGGA